AAGAAACTCCATTTAACAAATTCTGAAAGTTTCAAGTTGCTAGTATAGCTGAAAGTATTTTTCAGGAACCTTCAAATGTAATTTAACAAGAATTTGATGATTTTCTCAGGTATCAGTGAGTAAAAAAATTCGTAACTTTAGTTGTGAGTTAAAATATCAACTTCCAACTTGCTTTGAATTATGAAGAAACTCCATTTAACAAATTCTGAAAGTTTCAAGTTGCTATTGTGGCTGAAAGTATTTTCCAGGAACCTTCAAAGGTGATTTTACAAGAATTTTATGATTTTCTCAGGTATCAATGAGTAAAAAAATTCGTAACTTTAGTTGTGAGTTTCATATCAATTCCCAACTTGTTTTGTATCATGGAGAAACTCCATTTAACAAATTCTGAAAGTTTCAAGTTGCTAGTATGGCTGAAAGTATTTTTCAGGAACTTTCAAATGTGACTTAACAAGAATTTGATGATTTTCTCAGGTATCAATGAGTAAAAAAATTCGTAACTTTAGTTGTGAGTTTCATATCAACTCCCAACTTGTTTTGTATCATGAAGGAACTTCAGTTAACAAATCCTGGAAGTTTCAAGTTGCTGAGATGGTTGAAAGTATTTTTCAGGAACCTTCAAAGGTGATTTTACAAGAATTTGATGATTTTCTTAGGTATCAATTAGTAAAAAAATTCGTAACTTTAGTTGTGAGTTTCATATCAACTCCCAACTTGTTTTGTATCATGAAGGAACTTCAGTTAACAAATCCTGGAAGTTTCAAGGTGCTGGGATGGCTGAAAGTATATTTCAGGAACCTTCAAAGGTGATTTTACAAGAATTTGATGATTTTCTCAGGTATCAATGAGTAAAAAAATTCGTAACTTTAGTTGTGAGTTAAAATATCAACTTCCAACTTGCTTTGAATTATGAAGAAACTCCATTTAACAAATTCTCAAAGTTTCAAGTTGCTATTGTGGCTGAAAGTATTTTCCAGGAACCTTCAAAGGTGATTTTACAAGAATTTTATGATTTTCTCAGGTATCAATGAGTAAAAAAATTCGTAACTTTAGTTGTGAGTTTCATATCAATTCCCAACTTGTTTTGTATCATGGAGAAACTCCATTTAACAAATTCTGAAAGTTTCAAGTTGCTAGTATGGCTGAAAGTATTTTTCAGGAACTTTCAAATGCGACTTAACAAGAATTTGATGATTTTCTCAAGTATCAATGAGTAAAAAAATTCGTTACTTTAGTTGTGAGTTAAAATATCAACTTCCAACTTGCTTTGAATTATGAAGAAACTCCATTTAACAAATTCTGAAAGTTTCAAGTTGCTATTGTGGCTGAAAGTATTTTCCAGGAACCTTCAAAGGTGATTTTACAAGAATTTTATGATTTTCTCAGGTATCAATGAGTAAAAAAATTCGTAACTTTAGTTGTGAGTTTCATATCAATTCCCAACTTGTTTTGTATCATGGAGAAACTCCATTTAACAAATTCTGAAAGTTTCAAGTTGCTAGTATGGTTGAAAGTATTTTTCAGGAACTTTCAAATGCGACTTACCAAGAATTTGATGATTTTCTCAGGTATCAATGAGTAAAAAAATTCGTTACTTTAGTTGTGAGTTTCATATCAATTCCCAACTTGTTTTGTATCATGGAGAAACTCCATTTAACAAATTCTGAAAGTTTCAAGTTGCTAGTATGGCTGAAAGTATTTTTCAGGAACTTTCAAATGTGACTTAACAAGAATTTGATGATTTTCTCAGGTATCAATGAGTAAAAAAATTCGTAACTTTAGTTGTGAGTTTCATATCAACTCCCAACTTATTTTGTATCATGAAGGAACTTCAGTTAACAAATCCTGGAAGTTTCAAGGTGCTGGGATGGCTGAAAGTATATTTCAGGAACCTTCAAAGGTGATTTTACAAGAATTTGATGATTTTCTCAGGTATCAATGAGTAAAAAAATTCGTGACTTTAGTTGTGAGTTTCATATCAACTCCCAACTTGTTTTGAATTATAAAGAAACTCCACTTAACAAATTCTGAAAGTTTCAAGTTGCTAGTATAGCTGAAAGTATTTTTCAGGAACCTTCAAATGTAATTTAACAAGAATTTGATGATTTTCTCAGGTATCAATGAGTAAAAAAATTCGTAACTTTAGTTGTGAGTTAAAATATCAACTTCCAACTTGTTTTGTATCATGAAGGAACTTCAGTTAACAAATCCTGGAAGTTTCAAGTTGCTGGGATGGTCGAAAGTATTTTTCAGGAACCTTCAAAGGTGATTTTACAAGAATTTGATGATTTTCTCAGGTATCAATGAGTAAAAAAATTCGTAACTTTAGTTGTGAGTTTCATATCAACTCCCAACTTGTTTTGTATCATGAAGGAACTTCAGTTAACAAATCCTGGGAGTTTCAAGTTGCTGGGATAGTTGAAAGTATTTTTCAGGAACCTTCAAAGGTGATTTTACAAGAATTTGATGATTTTCTCAGGTATCAATTAGTAAAAAAACTCGTAACTTTAGTTGTGAGTTTCATATCAACTCCCAACTTGTTTTGAATTATAAAGAAGCTCCATTTAACAAATTCTGAAAGTTTCAAGTTGCTAGTATAGCTGAAAGTATTTTTCAGGAACCTTCAAATGTAATTTAACAAGAATTTGATGATTTTCTCAGGTATCAATGAGTAAAAAAATTCGTAACTTTAGTTGTGAGTTTCATATCAATTCCCAACTTGTTTTGTATCATGGAGAAACTCCATTTAACAAATTCTGAAAGTTTCAAGTTGCTAGTATGGCTGAAAGTATTTTTCAGGAACTTTCAAATGTGACTTAACAAGAATTTGATGATTTTCTCAGGTATCAATGAGTAAAAAAATTCGTAACTTTAGTTGTGAGTTTCATATCAACTCCCAACTTGTTTTGTATCACGAAGGAACTTCAGTTAACAAATCCTGGAAGTTTCAAGTTGCTGGGATGGTTGAGAGTATTTTTCAGGAACCTTCAAAGGTGATTTTACAAGAATTTGATGATTTTCTCAGGTATCAATTAGTAAAAAAAATCGTGACTTCAGTTGTGAGTTTCATATCAACTCCCAACTTGTTTTGTATCATGAAGGAACTTCAGTTAACAAATCCTGGGAGTTTCAAGGTGCTGGGATGGCTGAAAGTATTTTTCAGGAACCTTCAAAGGTGATTTTACAAGAATTTGATGATTTTCTCAGGTATCAATGAGTAAAAAAATTCCTAACTTTAGTTGTGAGTTTCATATCAACTCCCAACTTGTTTTGAATTATAAAGAAATTCCATTTAACAAATTCTGAAAGTTTCAAGTTGCTAGTGTGGCTGAAAGTATTTTCCAGGAACCTTCAAAGGTGATTTTACAACAATTTTATGATTTTCTCAGGTATCAATGAGTAAAAAAATTCGTAACTTTAGTTGTGAGTTTCATATCAATTCCCAACTTGTTTTGTATCATGGAGAAACTCCATTTAACAAATTCTGAAAGTTTCAAGTTGCTAGTATGGCTGAAAGTATTTTTCAGGAACTTTCAAATGTGACTTAACAAGAATTTGATGATTTTCTCAGGTATCAATGAGTAAAAAAATTCCTAACTTTAGTTGTGAGTTTCATATCAACTCCCAACTTGTTTTAAATTATAAAGAAGCTCCATTTAACAAATTCTGAAAGTTTCAAGTTGCTAGTATAGCTGAAAGTATTTTTCAGGAACCTTCAAATGTAATTTAACAAGAATTTGATGATTTTCTCAGGTATCAATGAGTAAAAAAAATCGTAACTTTAGTTGTGAGTTAAAATATCAACTTCCAATTTGCTTTGAATTATGAAGAAACTCCATTTAACAAATTCTGAAAGTTTCAAGTTGCTAGTATGGCTGAAAGTATTTTTCAGGAACTTTCAAATGTGATTTAACAAGAATTTGATGATTTTCTCAGGTATCAATGAGTAAAAAAATTCGTAACTTTAGTTGTGAGTTTCATATCAACTTCCAACTTGTTTTGAATTATAAAGAAACTCCATTTACCAAATTCTGAAAGTTTCAAGTTGCTGGTATGGTTGAAAGAATTTTTCAGGAATTTTCAAAGGTGATTTTACAAGAATTTGATAATTATCTCAGGTATCAATGAGTAAAAAAAATCTTAACTTCAGTTGTGAGTTTTATATCAACTTCCAACTTATTCTGTATCATGGAAGAACCTTATTTAACAAATTCTGCAAGTCCCATGTTGCTGGTATGGCTGAAAGTATTTTTCAGGAACCTTCAAAGGCAATTTTACAGTATTTTTATGATTTTCTCAGGTTTCAATGGGTAATAAAATTCGTAACTTTGGTTGTGAGTTCCATATCAACTTCCACATTGTTTTGTATCATGAAGAAACTTCATTCAACAAATCCTGAAAGATTCAAGTTGCTGGTATGGCTGAAAGTATTTTTCAGGAACCTTCAAAGGTGATTTTATAGGAATTTTATGATTTTCTCAGGTATTAATGAGTAAACAAATTCGTAACTATAGTTGTGAGTTTCATATCAACTCCTACCTTGTTTTGTATCATGGAGGAACTTCACTTAACAAATCGTGGAAGTTTCAAGTTGCTGGTATGGCTGAAAGTATTATTCAGGAACCTTGAAAGGTGATTTTACAAGAATTTTATGATTTTCTCAGGTATCAATGAGTAAAAAAAATTTTAAAGTTTTTTAAGTTTTCAGTTTATATATCACTGAAAAGAGCATTAAATCCTCTATAAATCTGTACAAAATTGAGTTTGATAGATCAAATAGTTTCTGAGCAATTAGGACTTTTAGTCCAAATTTTGTCCAAAACTTCAAATTTGATATTCCCAAAAACTGTAAAAGCCAGCGATTTCAGCTAAATACCATCTTGAAGCCATTATCAAGTACTATAATTCCTGATAATTTTGTCCCATTACTGCTTTTGGTTACCAAGTTACTGAACTTTGAAGATTCACAAATTAAAATCCAAAAAAAAAACACAAAAAACTAGACATCATAAAGAATTTTATTAATATTAAATGTTCAGAATAATACAAAGCAAACATAAACATATATGTTTGAAAAACGCACATCGTATAATATTCAAAAAAAGAAAAAGAGAACATTCTAATATAATAAATGTGCACAAATAATTAAATTACAAAAAACAGAGCTTTTGGCAATCAGATTTGTCATGATCGAAACGGCGGTGGAGCCGATTGCCAAAAAATGACAGTAAAAAATATCCTAGAAAAATGAGGTCCGAAATGCTTCACAATAATTTTGGCTAACGGAGGAGGATTGAAGTATTCGTCCACCGTTTTCCAAAAAAAATGCCTCAATATAATAATAATTCCCTGGAGTATCTATCTAATAATAATTTACATTTAATTTTTTTTTGATGTTTTACTAAAGGGCCCCACACACTACGCTTGTTTTCACCATACACTACGCAATTTTTTTTGGTAGTTGGATCCACATATAACAAAATGTTGAACCAAAAATCAAGTTCGGACTGAATTTTAAACCGACAAGAAAGAACATATAGTGTGTAGAGCCCTTAAGAAAAGTTTTGTCCCCCTTTTTTTTTTTTTGGTTTTTAAACTAAAAATCAGTTCTGTATTAATTAATGTAGATAGGAACCATTGTATGTATTTTCAAAACAATAAAAAACATTATATTATTATTAAAAACTACTTTTTTTTTTTTTTTTGATCAGGAAGAGGGGCAAATACCTTTCTTAGTAAAAACACACACGTCAAAATTCCCAAGGATGGGGGGCCTAATGAATTTACAAAGAGAGAAATTTCATAGAACGGTGGCAGCACATCGACTAAATAGGTTTTTTTTTTGTATAAAAATAAGTATTTAAAAATTAAACGCAACAAATCCATCATACCTCAACAAGGCAACCTTAAAAAAAAGACGCCGGTCACTTACTAATTTTGTCTAAATTGGATCTGGCAACACTTCACTAAAGTAGGATTTGTTCCAAAGTAAAAAATGTTTTAATGTTACAGTTTCTCATAAATTTTTGGAACAAACCTCCAATCTTCTCACTAATAAATACTTCCTAAAATTTAAATAACATATTACCTAAAATACAATAATGACAGCGTCTTTTTTTTTTTTTTTTTTTACAAAAATCATTCCTAAGTTCTTAATCCTACATCATAGCCTTACATACATCAGACTTTCCTCGATCATAGGTGTTCTCTCTCATCCACCCCGAAAAATAATTTTTCAAGAAAAAACATCTCTCAATGCTACAATAACTTAAAAATCAATCTACATACTTCTACATACATTTAACGAAAAACAATTTCTATATTCTCAAAACTTCATAGGTTTCACGTATACCAATTTTTTTTTTTTATATATAATGCTTCAAACTTATTTACAAAATTTTCTTTAGTAGCTCATAGAAAAAATAATACAAAGATTAATAACAAATTAATCCGTATTGTGTCAAGAAGCAAAGATTTTGTATATTAATTTGAAGTTTGATTTAATGAGGCCCAATATTGGAATGTAATAAAAATAAATATATGACACAATACAAATCAAAACAAAAACTTACTAAATCTAAGATTTTTTTGGGGGAAAACTTCTCTCCCTCTTATTACTTTAACCCTAAATATTTACAAATAATAAAAAGGAACAAAATAATTCACAAAAACTCCTTACATCGATTATTATAATGTATTATTTACGATAAATATATAATATTTTTGGCGTTTCATTGAAAAAAAAAAAGAAACTTTCAATTATTTTTAAGTAACAAAATAATAAAAATTGTCTTGTGTGTGTGTGTGTCTTTGTGGGGTGCCAAAAAATTAAAACCCAAGGTTTTCTACTATAAGATCCAGTCAGTCTTTTTTCTTTTTGTGTCGCGCAATTTTACCGCCCAAACAACTTATTTGGAATGATTTTTATTTAAGGTCTGTTCACACAAAAGTCTGCAACCTGTTACCACCTTTTAAGGCAAAATCAGGCATGTTGTTTCGACCCGAATACAAAAAGCATGCTTTTCCCACACTTATCTCCACCTTTATATTTCCCCCTTTATATAAAATCGGAGTGAGTCACAATAGACCGTAGGTCGCAGTGGACAAGAAGCCTAAACCTAAACCTGTTACCAAACGGAAACATTGAAAACATGCCTATACTGACAGTTTGCAAACTCTTGTGCGAACAAATCTATTTGATATTTGGGCGGTTCGTAAAATTGTCTGCGCCGCAATTAAAGGCCCGTTCACACGCAACAGAGATTGAAATATATATGGGAAATTTCTTAACCTTACTTATTCGACTTATAAACCTAAAAATTAAATAGTTTGGTATAAATTTAATGGCACAATTTTTTGAGCGCACGGAGTGCGCTCTTTTGAAATTTTCTTTCTATATGAGGGGAGGAATAATGTACAAAAAAAAGTAAAGAGAAAAAACACAGGCACAGCCACATTTATTCGAGTCCTCCCCTCCGGCTGCGTGAACGACCCTCCAGCGGCGCGCGCAACAACAGACTGATTTAACACAACTTAAAACAACACGTTTGATTTTTTTACTTTTTCGTCAAACGTCCTTCTTCCACTCGTTACAAACTGCTCATCATCCGTCTCGCTCTGTCGCAAGATGGCTACTCGCTACGGACGTCGGTTTTCTACCTTGACCGTGATTGGGGCGCATCTTGGCGAAGCGGATGATATTCGATCACGAGGCCTGGAACAAAAAGAATCAAAATTTATTAAAATCTAAATAAGATATAAAATACATAATATGATGATCTCAAATTTGAATGGTTTTCTCAAAAACTGATGAGGGAAAAATTTTGAAACTTCTGGAGTAAAAAGAAAAATTTCAAATTAATCCAGTAGAAAACAACCACAGGAAAAATTCCTGGAAATTAACTTTCAATCGTTCAACAAAGCCTTAAAAAATCACTTGTAAAAAATATTTCCAAAAATGACTTGAAATTTTCAGGATTCATGAATTGAAGTTTCCTCTTTATGGAAAAGTTAATTTGAAGCTTCAAACAAAATTTAGAAGCTTATGCTTCTGCTTATAAAATAAGTTCAGTGAAATCAAATTAAAACTGTATGAAATCAAAGGTTAGGTTAAATGGTAGAGGTATGAAAGAACTATAACAGAAAGTCTGAAGTATAGTCCAAGGTTTTATTTTATTATTATTATTATTTATTTATTCAGTATTATTGGATATTATTGTTGTTTGAGCTTTTTTGTGAATTAAATTTACCCTATAAAGACCGATTTCCAAAGGGTCATCATCAATAGACACATTTTGAACATCAGGTAACTTTTTTGACACATCTAAATTTGACATTTATAAGTGTTTTATAAAGCGCCAGAAAATTTTGGTTTCGGGTATTATACAGGTTGTTCCGTAAAGAAATCTCATCAGAATATTGATAAGTACTTTTTCAAAATAGAACACCCTGTATATGTGTAGTATTACCTATATTTTGGATTGGATACCTATATTCTTGGAGAAAAATTTAGATCTTTTTCATGTATAATGTAGGTATATCCTTATACCTACACGATGTCTCACATAAAAGTAACTACAAAAATGATTAAAATCTGTAAAAATCACTTGTGCAAAGTACTTCCAATGATTACAGTGACTTGAAACTTTCAGGATCTACTTCTTCTTACAAAATGAATGAAATCTGTAAAAATCACTCGTGCAAAATACTTCTAATGATCACAGTGACTTGAAACTTTCAGGATTTATAAATTGAAGTTTCTTTGTCGAGTTCTTTGTACTAAATTCAAGGATTTCTCTGATAATGTGTCCCTCTCAAATTATAATTTAATTATCCTTACTGAAACTTAGTTGAATGATGGAATATACAATAATGAGTTGGGACACAACAATTTCTATGAATTCTGATTAACAATTCTTTATTGATTTTCTATGTAGAATATTTGCCCCTTCAATCTAAATTGTCAAAATACGAAAATCATGCAAATACCATTGAACACTATTCTAATTTGTACGAATGCAATTTTGTGTTTATTCTTGGTGACTACACATTGTCTAATTTTACTAATATCAAAAGTGATACATATACTTATCAACTTATACATAGCCCTTCCATTGAATTCTTAACTACTGCATTATGTTTTTGTAATCCTGTGGTAAACAATGTACCAAATGCTAAAAATGTGTTCTTGGATTTAATTTTTTCTTATAAATATTATTTACTAATTGAGTTATCTTCCAGACACCTTAGAGTGAGTTGTGATAATCATCATCCTGCCTTACTTTCTGATATTGATGTCAATAGTCCAAATTTTGTTCAACATATTAATGTGAAGTTACGATATAACTCCAAAAACCATGATTTTAACAATCTTGAAGAATAAAATTTATTCATGTTAGTAGTGGGAGATGTTTTTGAATAAAATTTGCTCAAGAAGATTTTTGGTTCTAAAAAATTTTGATCATCCGACATTGCTTCACACAATCGCTTATAACTAGATTAATATTTTACAAATTTTGATGCATATTTATTTATATGTTCTTATTCAGAATTGAATGCTTTTTGAAATAAAATAAAATTCACCCATTTATCTCAACTAGTTTTTGAAATATTAAGCTTCAAAGTTGAAACTTTGTCTTGTTTTAAAATCAAAAAATGTGCTACATCAATCAAATGCCAAAATCAGATAACTCAGATTCTGAGTAAAATATCAACTTGAAGTTTGAGATTTTCAATAAGAGAAGTTTTATTTTATAATTCTTAAAAATTTTAAGTTGCTCAGAAAATCAGAAAATGTTTGACAGAGTAGCAAAATTCAATTTATCCTTGAAAATTGATCTTATCTAGAAAAAGGGTCATAACTCAGATTCTGAACAAAACATCAGCTTGCGGTTTGACACAATCGATAAAAGAACTTTCATTTCATAATTCTTTAAAATTTGAAGTTGCTCATCAGAATATCAAAAAATATTTCAAGGGGCAAACCACCTAAGAATTCTTTGCCAAAAATGTGGGGAATTTGTGAGAAACAATTATTCAATTTTTGTAAGTTGATTTCTATGATTTTTCATGTTACTTTCTAGTGGAAAAATTTGAAATTATGGGAAAATGAGCCTCTAACTTTCCTCTTCACATGCAAAAAGTTTCAAAATTTTTCCGTTCACTAATTTTTTAGGAAGACTTTGAAATGTGTGAGATAGTATTTTCAACTAATTCAGTTTCTGTAGGTTGATTTCGAAGATTCTTCATGTTGCTGTTTTCCACTGGAAAAATTTGAAATTTTGGAAAAATGATCTTCTCACGTTCCTCTTTACATGCAAAAAGTTTCAAAATTTTCCCTTCACTAGTTTTCCAAGAAAACTTTGGAATATGTGAGACTGTATTTTCAACTAATTCAGTTTTTGTAGGTTGATTTCCAAGATTTTTCATGTTGCTGTTTTCTATTGGGAAAATGAATTTAACACCTTCCTCTTTACATGCAAAAAGTTTCAAAATTTTCCCTTCACTAGTTTTCTAGGAAAACTTTGAAATATGTGAGACTGTATTTTCAATTAATTCAGTTATTATAGGTTGATGTCCAAGATTCCTCATGTTGTTATTTTCTACTGAAAAAATTTGAAATTTTGGGAAAATTAGTCTCTAACCTTCCTCTTCACATGCAAAAAGTTTCAAAATTTTCTCTTCAATAATTTTCCAGGTAAACTTTGAAATGTGTGAAACTATTTTCAATTAATTCAGTTATTGGAGGTTGATTTCCAAGATTCTTCATGTTGTTATTTTCCACTGAAAAAATTTGAAATTTTGTGAAAATAAGTCTTTGACCTTCCTTTTCATACGCAAAAAGTTTCAAAATTTTCCCTCAATTAGTTTTCCAGGATAACTTTGAATTGTGTGAGACTATATTAACAATTATTTTAGTTTTTGTAAGTTGAATTCCAAGATTTTTCATGTTGTTATTTTTCAGTGGAAAAATTTGAAATGTTGGGAAAATGAGCTTCGCCCCTTCCTCTCTACATGCAAAAAGTTTCAAAATTTTCCCTTCACTAGTTTTCCAGGAAAGACTGTTATTTTCCACTGTAAAAATTTAAAATTTTCGGAAAATGAATTTCTCTCACTTTTCTCTTCACATGCAAAAGGTTTCAAAAGAATGAGGAAGTTGCATAAAATTTTATTTAGATGCAAAATGTATTTAAAGTGAAGCAAAATACTCTAGAAGTATATTTCCATATTCAAATCCTCTTTATACTGAACCACTAATAAATAATTAATTATTCAAATATTGAATATAACAAAGGGCGCGAAAACGCTCTCAAATTGGTTATGACGTCATGGAACGGTAAACAAACAAAAGTGTGGTTATGTTAACGGGATACGTGAGCCGTCAGACGCTTGTGTTCAAATCCAACATTCTATGTCGGTCATTGTCATTTTCCATTAACTAAACAAAGATACCCCTCGTTTTTATTCTAATCGGCGACTTCACCGATAAGTTAGTTATTGTTATAATTATTATATTTACGGCCAATTTCATAATCAACTTAAAGTAAACTTTAAATTTAAAAATCCATTTGAAGTTGAAAAATCCTATCCTAAAAGTCTATTTAGCTAAAGTAACTTTTAATTCTCTATTATGAAATTGGCCGTTAGTCATATATATTTGTTACTATCATTACTACACTATATCTTTCTCTCTCTTAATGTATAGGGTGTGAGTTCACTGGAAGAGAATTGATTTCCAAAATCAACGTAACACTATCTTTGTTTAGTGAATGGAAAATGACAATGATCGATATAGTCGCATAAACCAATGACAAAACACAATGGGTAAGAGAGAGAGGAAGTACAGAGACTCGTTTTGACAAATAACGTCTTGTGACGTCATTCATTTATGAGTGCGTTTTGGCGCGAAGAGAGTAATTTTGAATTTCTAAATTTTTTAACAGAAAAACTATTAGTTGAAAATTTAAAATTTATGTGGCAAGTGACTTTTCACAATGTGAAAAATTTAATAAGAGAATAAAAAAAATCTGCAAATTCCTCATTCCCTTCACTAGTTTTCCAAGAAAACTTTGAAATGTGTGAGACTGTATTTTCAACTAATTCAGTTTTTGACAGGTTGATTTCCAACATTCTTCATGTTGTTATTTTCCACTGGAAAAATTTGAAATTTTGGGAAAATGAGTTTCTCACCTTCCTCTTTACATGCAAAAAGTTTCAAAATTTTCCCTTCATTAGTTTTCCAGGAGAACATTCAAATGTGTGAGACTGTATTTTCAACTAATTCAGTTTTTGTAGGTTGATTTCCAAGAATCTTCATGTTGCTGTTTTCCACTGGAAAAATTTGAAATTTTGGAAAAATGAGCTTCTCATATTCCGCTTTATATACAAAAAGTTCAAAATTTTTCCTTCGCCAGTTTTCTGGGAAAACTTTGAATTGTGTGAGACAGCATTTTTTATTAATTCAGTTATTGTAAGTTGATTTTTTCTTTTGTAGGAGACATTTGTGGGAAATTTGAGAGGAATTTGCAGGGAATTTAGAGGAATTTAGAGGAATTTGTGGGGTATTTGACTTACATTGATAAATTAGACAGTGTACAAAGACAGTTTTTGAGATAATATTACCTATAAGTTAGGTACACTTAAATACTTAGCATTTGAGTCGACAAGATCATTTTACATACAGATGCACATAACAATTTTACCAGACCCTAATTC